TCTTTTTATAGTACTCTTTCCTCTGAATAAATCTCGTTAAATCTTCAAGAACTGTTTTTTTGAGGTCTGCTTCCATTGCCAGCGTCTCGAATGTTGCTGGATGCTGCAGGTCAATTGCCTTCCAGCTTTCATTTTGATTCATGTAAAGCTTCAACCTTCTATCTGCTGCTTTGATCTCCTTCGCCATTTCCAGAATATGAGGAAGGTATGAATCAACAGTAACGTCTTTGTATTTCTTATGGAAAGTGACCTTGAACCAACGGACTTCACGGTTCGAACTGAAATCCCAACGGGGATTCCCAACGTTACTCCTACCGTGATTCTCCTTTGGGATTTTTAGTTGCCATTTGTAGTTGACGCCTTGGAAGTCGTCGATGAGCTCTTCGCCGTCGTCGAGGGAGAGAATTATGCTCTTCTTTTCCTTGTTCTTGCTGGCTCTGAGTCGGCGAATGTTGGAGGAGATTCGGGTCTGAAGGTAAGTGCTTGATGCGTCGTAGAGTTCGTTGGAGGTGAGGTCTTCGGCTTCTTTGATGACAATGGTGTGTTCGGTGGAGAACCAGTCGAAGCGGTGGTGGAAGGCGGAGAAGATGATGGTGCGGAGTTCTTTGGGGAGGTATTCGTTGACGATGGTGCGGGCGAGCATGGCGGAGGCGACGATGGAGGCGGCAGTGGTCAGATATTTCTTTGTGGATTCGACGGCTTTGGTTTGGGAATCCATGGCAGAGGAAAAATTAGTTTTTTTCTTTTCTGCTTTGGTTTGGTTTGGCCTGGCGCGGTGGAGAAAAGTTGCTCTTTGGGGAATTTGGAGGAGGGGGATGGTGTTTGGTGGGTTGGGACTTGAATTTCAGGTGATTTAATAGAGGGGGGAGGGGTAGAAGAGACAATCAGTTGATCTACTTTTAAATTAAGATACATTGGATGTTAAGCTGGAACTTTTATTTGGTCGCATCACAGGACGTAGCTCTACGTTCGGCCGCCAGTAGAATCGCGCCACATGTTTTCACTATTTATCGCGTGCCCCGACAACCCGACTCGGAACGGACCCAGGATGGCTCGATATTTCTCGATTTTGCTAGGTATTGCTAGGTATTGATCGATTTTGATCGGTAATAATCAATACCGAGCAATACCGAGCAAATACCGAGTAATACCGAGCAATACCGAGTTGTACCGAGTTTTTCGAAAAAACTCGGTACAACTCAGTATTTCTCAGTATTACTCGGTAGTGGTCTTCACAGAGCAGTATTTCTCGTTATCGCCAAGCAATACCTAGCAATACCGAGCAAATACCGAGTAATATAATACGCGAACATAGCATTCCCGGGTTCCGGTCTGGG